TTTAATCATCGAGAAATAGTAAGTTTGATATCGAAAAACGGAAAACTTCTATGACTCCGCGCTTTATCAATAATACCTACTACGCAGCACGCCTATGGACACCCCTTCTTTCTGCACACATTGCCAGTTCTCATTTCTGGATTGTTGGCGTGTCGGGGTTGTGCTTTCTAAAGGTATCCAGGGGTGCCGATTTTGTGAGAAGCCGATTTCAGAGCTAAGCTCATCCAAAGCGACAAAGGCTTACAAGGGTGCTTTTGGCTCCTGTGCTCGCAAGAGTTCGGATTTAGTCTATATCTCCATCCGCCGTTGAAGTCGCTTTTCGAACATTTTTTTTGATATTCCGCTTTTTTTTGTTGACTCAAACTACTGTTGCATTCGTACTAATTAAGGCGAACATTTTGGTGTATGTGAGAGTTCTGTAACACAACGGGGAGCCGATAAACAAAATTCCGGTGGCCCGGCCGGGGGGGGGGGGGGAGGTGGTAAACTAGAGTTTTGCGGAATTCTGTTTCTCTTAGGCAGATATGCGTGTGTTTAATTAGCGGTTCTACCACCGTTATACCATGCCAAGCGGAAAAACTATCTTGAAAAACTTGCAAAATTTTAAATGTTGGTTTAAACGCATTTTGCAACCGCCTAATTTCTGTCGCCCTCCTCCTGCCAGCTTTTCTCAAGTCATGAAGCGCAGCTCATGCTTCCGGTGCAGCCTCTCATATCGCCCTACCCATCCGGGGCAATAGCAACATTTCGGAGGGGCGGAAAAACGGTCGGGGTTTTGCGTGAATCGATGGGTCCGGGTGGGGATTGGCGGGGTGGGCGGAGGGGGCGGGGCTTCACGCTTGGACCCGGGCCCCGCCTGCATCTACCTCGATTCATGAAATACACCACCCGGCATTGAAATATCGATTTTTGGGTGCGCTAGTGTTTTATCGGGGGAAGGGGGATCGATAGTTTAGGAAAAGTTTTATTTGGAAAATTTCAAAGGAAATAGCGGTATCTTTAATGTGAGAAATAATGCTGAAATGAAATTGTCGAAAGGAGCGTCAAAAAATCTATATTACTGGTTTAAAACTTCTTTTAATTTTTATATATTGATTTAAAAATAGCCAAAAATCGAAGTTTTATCATGTCGACAAGTTTTTTAAGATACGGAAAAATCTGTAAAAAGTGGTATTATAGAATTTTGAGGCTATTTTTTACCTTGGCCACCTACAGCTTCCTGGACCCCATTTTCGCTGTTTGCTAGACTTATATGATTCTGCCGATGTTTCCCAGGCTGTATATACCTCTATCAGACCCTGTTGACCCCCGCCAGCTCGTTATCAACGTTGTTAGCTCATTTTTCGGGTACACAGTAGCCTGGGCTGTTTTATGTCCTCATCTCCGCACCTTTATTTATTTGCGTGCAGCTAGGCGTACGGTCTATTTTTCAGGGCGTTCAGCGAGTTCAACAAGGCCGAAGGGAGAGCGCTAGAAGAAGGCGTAGAACAACAAGAAGGCCTCGCCGTCATGTTCTGTGAGTTAATTTGTTCTCTTTGGCGTTACGGTCTACATTAGCTGTGAGATTTTTTTGACTTCATTAGGCGTTTTTCGAACCTTGGCCTATTCCAGATTTCCAGAATTTTCGAAATTTCGGAATTTTTTAGCTCTAAATTCACAAAGTCCGAATCTTTGGCATAGTTTTTCGGGAATTGCAGTCATAATCCCGACAGCCAAAACACCGAAAGCCGTAATACCGACATGCTAAAATACCGACATATCCTTGGCGCAATTTTGAATGCCACTCCCTCCTAAACACCTTTCATGTTGGGATTTTGATTGTGGGAGTTTTCGGTGTCGGGATTATGGCTTTCGGTATTTTGCTCGTCGAGATTTTCCCTTATTTTGAGGATTTTGAGGATTTGTTCATAGTTTCAGGCTTGTCGGGATTTTGATTGTCGGGATTATGACAGTCGGAATTTTAGTTGTCGGGATTTTTCCAGTATTTCGAGGATTCTGAATATTTGTTTATGTTTCGGCATTCTGGACTTCAACGTTCCGAAATGTCGGTATTATGAGTCTGACGTTACTTTATTGAAAAACCACCTCTATTCTCATGCTAAATTTTCCCCATTTCCAAATCAAACGCGACCATTTCCCAATCCACGACATCTGAATCACACCTCAGGTTGCTCACCTGGAGCTCTTCATCCCTTCGCTCATGCTCATAGCTGTGACTCACTTGGCATGGCCGTCTCCCCGCTGTTGCAACCCCTCCCCCCTCGGGCCATCGATCCGGCTACCGTAGTAGGGGGCATTTGATGGGTTAGCGAGGAGAGGCGAGGTCTCCCCCAGAAAACACTCGCTCCCCCCAAACAACCCCCCATCGATTCCCGCCGGGGCCAAGATAAAGCGGAAAAGGGGGGACCCGAGGGCGCCAGCTGCATGCTTGGCGCTTCCACGGGTTCGAGGCGTAAAAATTTTTGGTGGCTTCTGCTATGGGTGAGACGGCGTTGCTGGCTGAAGGTAATCGTTCAAAGGATACGAACCGGAATTAGACTTTTTGGCAACTAGCCAACAGCAAGGGAGATCCTGCTTCCCTCGCCTAACCGATATCCGTTGGCCTTCCTCATTTCTTGAAAGTGCACGGCACTCTGGTCCACGCCCGTCACAATCCGCGTTGATTCCTTGCAAATTCCGGCCAGATCCGGCCGGTACGCGAAAGTGTCGCATGCTCTTTTGGCCCAATTTCGACGTGTAAAACGCTTGAATTCGGAAGCTATTTCTGCCATCGTCAAGCAATTTTGTCCATTCTAGCTGTCTTAGCTTAAAAAATTGGCCCTGGAATCACCGAGAGCGCTGAATTGGATGCTTTACGACATGTAAAGCCGGCCCGTTCAAAGCACGATTTAACGCCTCAAACATTTCCATTTTCCTCGAATATTTTTCGTTTTTTTGCAGCGAAATAAGCTTGCCAATACTCCTGCGGTGGGAAGGCGTACCCATTGAATGTTAAGAATCGTAGGTCGGAGTCCCCGAGCACGCGAGTTTTGACTTCCTGAACCCTTTAAAGATACAAACCTATCGTACGAAAATTCAAAATTTGAAGGCCTTTTGGGTTCTTTAAATAGTTACTATACTTATAAACGTCCTCAGAAAATGATCAACACTTGTCGACGCCTGGTGTGCAAGTTGTGCGCGAGTCCCACCCCGCAGATTGATGGTGCTCCCCGTTAAACAACACCCCAGAATTGGCCAATACCCTCAGGGGAGGGGGAGGAAATGGATTAGCTCGCCTCGATTAATGGGCTGGCTAGCGTGGAGACTGGGGGAAGAGAATAGGGGGCCCTTATTACAACTTTACGCCCAAAGGGGAGATGAACGATTATCTCCCCCTCCCCGCCACCGCTAGCTGCTGCTCTTCTCCCTGGGGGCAACGGCTGGCGCGATGGAGAGGGCAGCGCATAATTGGAATAATTGATGGCTACACAACAGTCACACCTGGGGCCCCAACGGGGTGAGGGGGAAGCCTTTGGGAGGAGGAAGAGCTTATTAGGGGCTAGGAGTGAAATCTATAGGAATTTGAGCATATCCGGGGAATCTATCAATTTTCGAACATCAGAATCTCGAATTTCAGAATCTGGAAAGTAGAATCTCAATTTCAGAATCTCCGAATTTTCATAATCTCGATTTTTCAGAATGTCGAAATTCATTAGGTCAAAATTGCAGAATGCCGAAATCTCAGAATACCGACATTCATAATGTGGAAATCTGTATCGAAATTCATAACGTCGAAATTCCAGAGTGTCGAAATAGGACCGTCCAATTTCCGAATTTCTAAATTTACCTAAACAACACTCCCCCGGAAAAACCCCAAATACATGCAAAAATTTCGACATTTTGGAATTGCGACGTTCTGAAATTTCGGAATTAGGATTTTCGACATATTGATTCGCAAATCGCTGTCTAGACCCCCAATAGATTTATCTAAATCCGAGATCCTTGAAAAATCCAACCTTTCCACCGACCCTCAACAAGAAGTCCCATAAAACAAGGCAATGATCTCGGGTTTTTCTCCGGCACTTTCGGGTTGATGATCGCCATTTCGGGGGGTGGAAAAAACAGTGGATGATGGCAAGGGCTGGCCCCCGCTGTGATTGGGTTGCTAGAATCATCCCGGAAAACAGTTGAGGCAACATTCCGCTCAACACCCGGTCCTCCCCCAGCGATGAGCCACTGTTTTGCCTTTCTATTCCCGGGCGACAAGTATCAGCAGGGTACGGTAGTTTCCGCTTGATGGGCCAAAACGGGGGGGCTAATTGCATTAGTGAGTGATACTGGCTGGAGGGTTAGTCATCTTCTGTTTGGATTTCAATGACGTCATGAATCTTCTATGCAAGATTTAAAAACCAGATTTTCATGAAATTAAATTACAAAGATTTCAAGTGGATTTTCCGGTCTTTAAGCAATTTTTGGTTCTTGAGCATTATCGAGGGGGGGCTTTGTCTGGGCAGCAAATTTTGAATATAAATCGAGGAAGTGTTTCTAAAGTAATCTTTCTATTCCTAAAAGTAAAAACCTTACAAATTTTCACCGAAAAATTAGATTTTTGGACCAAAATGTTGAATTTTAAAAATTTTTAAAAGTTTTTTTGATACTTTTTCCACCTGAAACAAAGCTAAATTTGACTAAATATAATATAAAAATACGTACCATTACGTTACTGGCCTTCTAGGAAAAATTACATTTCTGGCCTCTAGGAAAAATTCGATTCTCCCCCATATTGCAAAAAGCACCCAAATTTCGAATTGGTGCAACTCGAAAGGACTAGCAAAATTCCAGTCCGTTCCCAGACTTTTAACGGTCGCATTGTTGCGTAATCAGCGCGCGCGGCGCAAAAAACGGCGCCGACTCCGCGCTGAATCATCGGCTTGCTCAAAAGTCGCGCCGTTACATAAAACCCCGCTCATTCCACCCTCATCCTCCCGATCCCATCGTATTATTTCTACTGCCCCCCTACGATGGAGTGGCCGAAGCGACGTGGGTTTTTGCGCGCTGGATTTCACCCCGGGCTCTAGGGACCGAAATTTGTATGAAAAAGCCAAGTTTTTTGTCTGTTTTATCAAATTAGCGTTATTGAAATTGTTTTTAGGAAAATTTAACTGTATTTGAAGCGGAAAAAATATTCAAAATCATAAAAAATTTTAAAAATTCGAAATTCTTGTTGAAAAATAGAAATGGAACTGATTTGTTGAAATTTCTTTTCTAGAAATTTGTACAGAGTTTGCGTTTAGTAATGGTGGAAAAAACGGTGTAGAAACATTTCTTCTATTTAAATCAGAAGAAGTGGATCCTTAGAAAAAAGCCCCCATCGATGATGCAAAAGAACCACCCAAAAAATCGATTTGCTTGTTAGGTAGTAAACGCTTTCGATCGTTTTTACAATGCCTCTAGACTCCATAGAACGCTAGCTAATTGCCAGCCTCTAAATCCAAGACCCCAAGTCTCTAAAGTCGGTGTCCGGGAAATGTCCTTGACGACGACCCATTATGTGGAAGTGAGCCGTGTGTGTGTGGATTGTCGCGTACTCTACTTTCTCCCTCGAAAACCCGACCGGGGGATAGAATATGAAAAGGGCCAGGTGGCTGATGTCAAAGGCTAGGGCAAAAATGGAGGGTGTAGAAAATAGAAACACTTTCTAGGCTGTCGAAAGGGAATGGGAAAGTTGAAGAGAAATTGAAAACAATCGGTACTGGACTTTTAGCGGTGGGGGGAAGTAATCTTTATTTGTCTGCCTTTTTTCTTGAATATATAACGTGTTTTTATAATCGTTTTACAAGTTTCTTTTGCTAGGAATTCAATTAGAAAATTGAAAATTTGACGGTCTTCCTTTTTTTCTTTGATAATTTTGGTATATTGGTGGTCTTGACTAAATCGTTTCATCGTTTTTATGAGCCTTTTTGCATCGAAAAACGGTGCAAAATGCGTACAAATGTTCTATATTACGCTCTATCGTACGGGCTTAATGGGAAAGCCCCCCCCCCGATAACAGTCCAGTACCAAAAAAAAATCAGGATACAATCGAATAATATAACTTTGCAAATCATGATAGGTTTAGGCTGCGTGAAGCCCCAAAGCAACGCTCTCCCAAATGACATGCTGCCCATCGCGCAACGCGTCAAAAATGAGCCGCTTCTCAGCACAAATTCTACAAATAAGGTAAACTCCTTGGTGACGTTTTCCAGACCGTAGCTTTAGGATCTGCACTCGAACCTCGTCGACCTCGAGGAGATTGTGATGAACTGGTCGCGCGTCGTGTTCAACGCCACCAAGAGCAAACAGGAGGCAAAGATCAAGAAGAAGTATCTTTCGGTACGCTATGAACTCGGCACCTCTTATTTTTAGCTAAAACTACTTATTTTAGCTAAAAGCTTGGACCATTAACTTA